ATTGAATATAATATATTATAACTTGAATTTATATAATTAAAAATTAAAAATTTTGTACAGCCGACTTCAATATAACCCTTTCGGTCCCAGTACTCACAATTGTGACGGTGACTTTGTCAATTTTTATAAAATTAAACAATAGCCGTGAGTTGACGGGGACAGCATCACACGATCGTGCGTGTAGTTTGGTTTATTATGACAAAGAGCAGTGGAATTAAATTACAATAATTTTGACTCAGTCGCCATTTGCTGCCTAGCAACAGACACATGTTACGCGCCAAAATTAAACATACCTGTTTGTCACGTAAAAGTAAGTAAAAACTATAATGTTATTGCAATAATTCGTTTGAAAAAAGCTAAATTCTCGATAAATTATGTTTTTATTCGTCCTTTCGCGTTTTTAGTTTGTCTTTTTCGACTTTACTTTTAGATGTCACAATCGTGAGGGTTCGGGCCCAACATTGGTCGGATTAGTGATTATTTATACCAATTATTTTATGTTAAAAACCCTCTTGTTTACTTTTCAGCCTATTTGATACATCGTTATGGATAGAAATAACTTGGCTTTTGACCCTGATGCTATAATAGATCAACTGGCTGACTCGGATTTGGGCGAGGACTTTGACGACGATAATGATTGGCATCCACCTGGTCAGCTAACTAATTCTAGCTCGGATAACGAAGACGAGCAAGAAGCAAGAAATTCAACAGTAGCAAGTCCATCATCGTCGAATAAATGGATTCGCAGACGATTCGTCGGTAAACCCATGCCTACACTGATCTCGGAGCCGACGGAAGAAGTACTTACTCCAAGTGAATACTTTGATAGGTACTTTACTGAAGAAATTTACGAGTTATTTGCTTTTAACACGAATGTTTATTATCAGTCGAGTTTTAACAAATAACTTAATCCTCCGGTTACTGCGACAGAAATTAAAAAGTTTTTTGGTATTAATGGAATCCTGGGCTGCATTAGATATCCTAGAATCAAGATGGTGTGGATGCAACGATTTAGACTATCTTGTATTGCAGAGGCAATGGCTCGTGAAAGATTCTTTCTTCTCAGAGTAAACTTACACATAGTAGATAAGGGATCTGTATCACCTGAAATACAAACTCAGAACAAACTGTGGCTTGTCCAGCCACTGATAGATGCTGTAAGGGGCAGATGCTTACAGATACCTAGAGATCAATCTCACTTTTCAATAGATGAACAAATGGTGCCATTCCTCGGTAAGTGTCCTGTCAGACAATTTGTGAAAGGCAAACCGAGACCAGTGGGCCTTAAAAATTATGTCGTGACATCATCGAAAGGATTAGTGTTAGATTTTGAGCTCCATCAAGGCGACACCACTCCACTTTCAGACAGATCTCTGGGCCTTGGACCCGCTATAGTTTTACGTTTATTAAATACCCTGCCCAGAGGAAGTTTCGTCTATTTTGATAGATATTTTACGACCATTCCATTACTTGAGAAGATGTTAACGCTTGGAATTGAAGGCACTGGAACAATAATAACCAATAGATTTAAAGGATACCAGTTTCCCAAAGACTCTTCAATGAATCGGAGTGATTATCACGAGGTTATTAACAATAAAAAAGATATCTGTGTCATTAAATGGAAAGACTCCAAAACAGTATTAACTTGTTCAACTGCTATTGGAGCCCTGCCATTGCATAAGGTCCAGCGTTACGATAAAGTTACAAAATCATACATCGAAGTAACTTGCCCTGATATGATTAAAAATTACAACGAACATATGGGAGGTGTAGACGTCAGCGACCAAATGATGGAGGTCTACAGATCATGGCATAAAACTCGCAAATGGCCAATCAAGTTAATAATGTATTTGTTTGACATGGTGAACTCGTGGTACGAGTATCGCCAATCGCAAGTGACAGGTTGTACACGCCGTTCAAAAGTAAGATGCACAAAATGCAATGTTTATCTTTGTAGTACTAAAGATAAGCATTGTTTCTACGTTTTCCATAATGAAAAATATTTTTTTTTTAATATTTTTCTCAAGTCTATTCCTTCTAGTAATTATAAACAGATGATCTCGATTGTGTGCCTTGTTCCTAGTTCTTAATAAGATTTTTATTGTATCTAATTACTCCAAAAATAGAGGTTAAAAGAAGCGTTATATTTTTGTTACTTATTAACAATAAGAAATTAAGTTAATATTGATTATAAAATAAATAATTAGTCCTAATTTTTAATTTTATTTGAATATTGTTATTACTCTCACGATCATGAGGGTAGCTATAGTTGGGCCCGACATAGTACGATCGTGAGTATCGTGGAAAACAGTTTTCCCATTTTCCCAGATTTTTTAAGACCCCTTTTTTGTAATCTACGCATGTTATTTGCCCCAAATCAGTTCTGTAATATTCGTTAAGTAGCGCCGTCACGGCACGGGTCTGAAAGGGATAAGTTATTTAAGAATAACTCAATAACCATTGGTTTGACCTTGATCTAATTCATATGCGACCACACGAGAACTATCAGCTTTCATATAAAAAAAGAATCGTCGAAATCTGTTCACCCAGTACAAAGTTATGAGGTAACACACTTAAAAAAACATACAGTCGAATTGAGTACCGTCTCCTTTTTGGAAGTCGGCAGAAAAATAACAAAATATAATGCCCTTATTCATGTTCCAATAATAATAAATCATATATAAATAATACTGATATTTTGTACTTTCATGACAGCGCAGTATTGTTAAATCGATGGCAATGTCTCGAAACTGCTAGAATGTAATATATGCGTGTAGAACTTTAATTCAGATGCGAACGGATTGGTTGGAGGGTTAAGAAAGAGAAAGTAGGTAATAAACAGGTTATCATACGCTTATTTAATCGTCAAAATATTTAAATAACTAAATGCATAGATTTTTGATGTCTTCTGCTATTTAAATATATATATCAACTTTTTGCTATAGCTCTTAAGTTAATTTTGTTTACAGTTTTTTTTATACTAGCCATATTTATTTAATATTCTACTTCGTTTCGCTTTTAATAAATACCGAGATGAACTCATTTATTGTGCATTTTACACAAACAGTCCGATATTGTTACATTGTCGCTCGAAATCTCGGTAAAACCCAATGCCAACATACATGACATTTTACGAAAAAAATATCATGCAAACGTTTTTGTAGAGCTGTAGCTGTAATACACGTTTTTAGAGAGCAAGTCACGAAACGCGATGATCTCGTGACTCTGAGCCTAGGTTCCAGCCCATTGGTTAGTTAAATTGACGTCATCCTTGTTGTCCAATAACGACTCGAGCGAGTTATTTTTAGAACGCAACGCCGTTGTGGTGGGGATTGAGGAAAATTGTATTGAGGTGCTTTCGGCGCGAATGTTGCACAACATTTTCTGAAACCCTACGCAGTGTGCGCATGCCGCATTTTCAATTGGAGTGAATATCGTCGGTTCATAAAGTTAAAACTAAACAGTTCTTTGCCCTTAAGTGAGCGTAAATATACGTGCTGAACACAAGCGCTACAAGTTATCTCTTTTTCATATATTTTAAAAAGTGACTTATCTAGAAACACGTCGTGATAAGAAACCTCATTTTAGGGTGAGTTATTTTTGTTCCTAGCATCAAAATAAAGTAATTAATTAAGACTCAGCATATTATTAACATAAGCAATATTTATTTCCATTAATTAAGTTAAAATAATACATCACGTATAAAGATCTGCGACGAGACTTAGGTACGACGTACATTTCCTATTCCTACGTCCGACGACATCGTTCAAAATTCATGCGTATAACAAGTTATAACCTGTCACGCTTGCACTGCGTTGTATTTTATTTACTTTTAAAGGGCTCAAATGTTAAATTATAGAACTGTTGATATAATTTGATATCAAAATCAGATTGATATTCCCTTTAAGTATAGGTATGTAATAGTGTAATTGATACAAAGTTGAATTTTAGCAAAATTACTTATATATTTAAATCGAAGTGACTAATTATTTACGTACAGTGCCTTCGATTTTCAACGTCATAGCTTTCACATCCATCGTTAGTATGTTGTGAAGCAATCGTGTTGAATAATTAATGATTCTAAAATTCTTTACTATAAGAATATGAAAATTATTTTATATTTCAACTTCAAGATATCGTTAACACTTCTTATTAACTATGCGTTTAATTTAGATAAGAATTATGAATCACTACATACATGTTAAGTGGATGGGTGAATAAAAGTGGCTTTAATGTACCTATCTATAAAACGTAGACGGTTTATACAAGTAGACCTCGAGGTCGCATATCAAATTCCTACAAACAGATAACCACGTTAATTGTCAAAGTCATTCATTATTCATTAAATTGACTACACATTTGGCTTAAAGCTAACTCTGATTTTAGATATTGACTTATTATTATTTATTAAAAAAACATCTACGTATGTACGTCTATAATTATGTAGTTCATAATATACCTATATATTTCTTTTTTGTATCGACCCGTAAGTCTTCTGCCGAACATGGGGCTCTCCAGTTGTAAGGAATATTTTCCTTAATCGTTACGTTTGGCAGGCAGGTTGACGACGCCTGACGTCTCGCGTCTTTGCCACTGCTGCCAGTCGCCGGTCTGGGTATTTTGTATTTTTCGTTTAACGTGAACGAGATGGTTATAATACCGTCAACTATCGGATGTTTTAAGATTTTCTAACATTTCGCATAGTCGCCTCTTACTACACGACACCAATGGTACGAAATGGTGTGATGGACTCTCTCACGCCGCACGGCAATACTATTAATAATAAAAAAAAAACTATAATGACACCTATTATTATATAAGAACATTATCTTGTTTTCGTTATTACGTTATTAATGTCGATTATCTTCAATTTAAGTTATCTCTTGGTACGTTTTCTTACGTCGCGCTGGGGTTTTTCCCTCGAACAGTTTACGAGGAAGTCGATTGACCTTTGTTACTTGTTTCCGTTCTGTAAAAAGTAACCTCTCGTCTTGTTTCAGGCCTACTGCGCAGAAAGTTAGTTGGTTGGGAGCCTAAAGAGTTAAGATTTCATTAGGGACTCAAGAAGAGTTCAACAAAGTAAGTACTGCCGCTACGGCGGTTCCATTTAAAAAAAAAAACAATTCTTCTGTTTCAGGTCCAGAAGAGCGAAGTACGAAGGGGAAAAACAAAGGACAGTTTAAAGAAATAGATTCTCTAATTCCACTTATTATAAATAAATACATTTTGCTTTTTAGTTTTGAAAAATAATTATTAAATTACTACTTAAATTTATTTTTTAAATACCGAGTCACTATAAAAACCTCAGAATTTTTTATAGTTTTGAATATTTCCCTATTTCATATCTTTCATTTTCGTTTTTTGTGTCTCGCACACAGTTTGTTGATATGCATTACGTAAACAGAGGTTTTTTTGAAATAATACTAATATTTTTGTTTAAACTTTCATTTATGACCTACTTAGACATAAAAGCGTACTTACTACTGTATGTGTATTACATTAATTATTAAATACCGCCTACGGTTGGCTCCCATGTTGATTCTTTTTAAACTTCTGCATAAAAACAAAATAACAAGATGGAATTACCCTTGAGATAATGAAACACGCATCTATAATATTATTTTACACTACTATTACAAAGGATTAGACCATACTAACTTTATGAAGGCATATAGTTAATAGGCTAACGTTCTTATTTAGTTCTTAGAATTTAAACATTTTGTTGACATGTCATACAATAATTCCTTATAAGTTAATTAATACTAACGTAGTGATTAATTTGCCTTTTATATTGTTTATTAACTCTTATAAATAATATAAACAGGAATAAGTAGTTTGTTAAAATAAAATTGGTATAACATATATCCCTGTGCCTTAATATTTTAAAGCTAACACAAAATAAATACATTTGCTAACAAAAATTACATAGGCTTGATTCAAACAAATGGTTCTTTGGGCAGGTGATGAATTATAGCAACCTATACTAAATTTGGTACAGTTTATGTCAGACAAATGCTCTTTAATATTATACATACTTGTACAAGCACGTGATAGCTGTGAGTCTGATCCTTTAAAGTTCATTATCATATCAAGTTATATATTTGTATCTGAATATACTTTTATTTTTGAGTTGTTACATTCTCTGTTTTCTATATTTATGTAAGTTTCACATAATATCTTAATATTTATGCCACCACAATTCCTTTCAATGTCATGTAAGCTATTTTGTACGTATATCTACTTTATTTCAATACATTTACATATAATTAAAAACTCGCCTCAAGGTTTTCTATCTTGTGACATTTAGGAAATGTTCGCGTGTCTGTTGTTGCTATGCCTGTTTACGTCACCTATCATTGATCACTCGGTAACATCTCGCATTCACTATCATGTACCCGCAAAATTTCCTTTCCTTATTTACCTAAAACAAACATTCTTATTCTGCCATGAAAGCCCATGTCATTTTTCACACGGTCATTCCTCTCCCCCGCTTAATAAAAATATGCACATTATGTTACGTCGTATCGTTTCTGTTTGTAGTTCTATTCAAAATGGTTGCTCAAAAGATCACCTGTCCGAGTCGGAGCGATGATATCGGAAATAAGTACAACACAAACAACAACAGATATGGTTTTTTCGCAAACGAGTCTCCAGACTCACAGTATTTTGAAAGTGGTAGAAATAGATCTTTTAAAGCCAGAAAAGAGTCAACAGGTGAACGGTCCAACCGGAGTGGTTACACACAGAAATACAGTATCGAAGCCGCCTTCGCCCGAGGAAGCAATCAGCTATCCCGAGGTAAGGATGAGGCCGGCTGCCGTAAGTACTTACTAATTAACTCTATTTTATTGTTAATATAAGTTTACTGTTTAGTTTCGTCATTATTATAAAGTACTCTTATTAATATAAAATTTGTGGAATTCCAGGAATTTCCAAAACCGGAGCCCGAATTACCGAGCACAATGTTTCACGAATCGGAGTTCTTCCAAGATCTGGGTCAGTGGTGCGCCGCTCCCGCCGAGGATGTAGTAGTACAGTCCATTGGTAGGTTTTTGATTTTCCTCTTTCTCCACTTCATTCCGTATCACCATAAAAATTTATCTTAATTTACTTTCTTTCGCAGACTCTCCGATACACACTGAAGACAGGGCACACAACACCGACACACTGCACACACCATTCTCGCCGCAAGGCTGGGATGTATTTGACGCTAATTCTCCCTCTGCGCTGGCAAGTTTTTATTACCCCATGTCGAACCCGGTTTCTCCATCTGTGGATGAGCTGGGGAAGTACAGTAATGAATCCTTATGGCCTCAGCAGAACGACAAAGTTCCGTTTTCAGAAGAATTTTTAGATATAAGCAATTTGCCAGTCGTGATAGGGGGATTAGCGTCAAGCAAAAATGCCGATATGAAACCGTGGCAAATCACGGAGCCTGTCGGCTGGCTAACATCAGATACTGATTACACTAAAGTAAATACAAACTTACACCCCACTATGCCCTTCATTGAAGAGGATTCATTGGACATTAAACTAGTTTCGGTTATACCGCGGGAGGTGGAGAACAATGATGTAGTTATATCGGAATACATAATAAATGACCACCAAGATTCAAAGGAAACTGAGAAAATTTCAATGGAGACAATGTCAATACGCCGGGGTCGGGGCCTTTCTATAGACGTGGCAGCGTGTACCCCGAACTCGCCCGACGATATTATCAGCACGCCAGAAGTTCTAAACTTCGTCGAGCAGTTGGAGGAAGAGAAATGCACATTTCCAAGTTCGGTAAGGATCTTTAAACAAACTAATTACTCAAGTATATTTATTCAAGATGTACAAAAAAGGGTTATTATAAACGTGAAAGTACTAATTACTTAGTTATTTTTGCACCCTTTATAAATACCTTATGCGATTACTGATAAAAATTACACCTTTAATATTGCGAAATGTAATTATAGAATTGATATTGAATATGTCAAATTTTTATTTTCTCTTGTTACAGACGCCAGCACCAGAATGGCCCACACATGACACTTCTGTTGACAGCGTTTCTAAGACCGAGTCCTCGCCACCGATGGACTATGAACCAATCACACCTAAGACGGAATCGCACGTGGAGTCCGACAACGACGACACAAAATCGTATACAAGCAAAAAAAGACGTCGTGATAGTGAAGATTCAGATGAAACTTACACGCCGTATACCGAACATTCACCTCGGAAATACAGGAGGAGGAAGCCCAACATTCCTATTAAGGATATGATTCGCGCTTTGGAAGGCTCACAACAGCTTAAACCCACGCGAAGAGGTCGCCCACCGAAACGAAGAGAGAGCACAGTATCTTCCGTGTGTAGTTTGGACGACAACTCCTCAGTATCTACACACGAACTGAGATACAGAGAATTGAGAGACAAAAACAACGAAGCATCAAAAAGATCAAGGATGAACAGGAAACTAAAAGAATTGCAAATGGAGCAACTAGCTATCGAGTTAGAAGAGCGAAACAAAAAATTGAGAATACGGGCCGAGATCTTGGAAGACACGACGAGGAAGCTGCGGGAGGCTTTCATGTCGGCAGTGTCTCAGAAAAGGCTCAATAGCTAAATAAGTATATCAACAGGATTATGTGAAAAAAGTTTGCAATATATTTGTGAAATCTATGTTCGTAGATTACGCATTTCTTGTTTCGAATGCTTGTTAAATAGCTTCAATAACGGAATTCTCTATGAATGTGGATTGTAAATCTTTTTGTTAGCTGTGGCTGTTTATATTTTACCCGGACATGACAAAAAGAACCAAGTCTCAAAGACTTATAAAATAAGGAAATATAGTTTTTAAGCTTTTCTTATTATAATAATTCAAGTTTAATTATATCAACACTTATAATATATTTTTAACACTAAGTGTTGAATTTCTCGTTTTATTAAATATTTCGAGTCCATTATTGCTCTCGAATTTAATTTAAGACAAGTTAAAACTAAATCGCTATATTAATGTTAATCTATCAATCGATTAGTTTTTGAAATATTGCATGATATTTCAATGGAATGGCTTATATCTTTGTTGTATTCTAAATAAAAGATTTTGAATTGTTAGTATAGTTTCATTTCTTTCCCACTTATGTAAGTATGTTGTGGAAACCAAGCATAGATTTCCAAAATATCTGTAAAAATCATACCGCATAGTTTCAGTATGCAATTGTCTAATAAGTAACAAATAATAGCCCTCATTGCGATCGCTCACAAACTCAAGTTGTAAATAAATTTCTGGAAAAGAAGTCTCCTGTTAAAAAAACAATGCGTGTGTCTTAATGTTTAATTTTGCGTGGTAGAGCCATGCTGCAGCTATATTATGGTTGTAGCACGAATGGGTCGGCTCGACCGGGGAAGGACCACGCTCTCACAGAAAACCAGCGTAAAATAGCAGCTTAACGCTGCTGTGTTTCGTATGGTGAGTGTAGAGAACCGAGACCCTTTTTACTGGCAAAGAGGCATTCCATCTTGGTCCTCACGGGTGACAACGCATCTGCATCTTGAGTCTTTATTGAGGATAGATGTAGATGTCTATGGGTCATAGTAACCACTTACCATCGGGTGGACTGTGTGCTCGTTTGTCACCAGATACTATAAAAAAAAATTGCTTAAAATGGTTGAACTGCCGTCTTATTACTATCATATGGCCGAATAGACCTACGAAGTACCATGTGCTCTTGTGATATGGTATAAGGTTTATTTTTGCTTGAAACAGTTCGAAACCGTTCATGCATAAAAAAAGTTCGCTGATAAATAGTCTGGTCAATCCGCCGCCGTATAGCGCCGGCGTTTTTATCCTTTAGAAAACACTTGTTTTGCTATTCTTACTAATTAGACGTTTTCGAATCGACTTTACTTTTACATTTGTATAACATTAAATAATATTTAACATTTGTAAATATCAATGAATAATATACCTTTTTTTTTTTCAAATTAAGCTTCTTCATTGTTTGATATTTACAAATGTTATTATTAGGTGAAAATTTAATTTAATAAAAACCAAGGTTTCCAGGGTGATTTAGCTGTACCTACTTATATAAATGATTTTTTTATAACAACAAAAATAGTACAAAAGGTTTGTAATCTCTTTATAAAAAAAAGTCACTCTCTCAATTTCAAAGAAAACGCGTAAAATAACACGTAGTTACCCACTAAAAACAAGTATCCTTCCATTTGTAACTTATGTTTGATGTCAAATAAACTTAACCGATTCCTGAGCAAACTCTTCGTTGTGTACTCGTGGAAAAGGTAGACAATGACCTTCCATGGAAAGTGGCCTGAACTTTGGTCAGAACCGCAGACATCTTAGGAGTACGTGTGCTGAACCTTTGTGATCAGGAACAGGTTATAGAAAAAGGCACATTGGTTGGTACTGGTGAGGAAGTGGATTGGTTGCGTCGGTGCCAATATCTATCGACTGGGACCCACACTCGTTTGTCCCCCAGCAAGGATGGACAAACGAGAGTGACCACACTTAGAAGACTGTCGCAGCGTTCTCTCCCCGAATGTAATGGTCAAGGCGAAGAAGTTGTTACTCAAGTACGCCGATGTTTTCGCGTCAAACGATGCTGAAATAGGAAAGACGGGCTTAGTTCAACACAAAATAAACATAGGAGAAGAAATGCCTATCCGTCAGTGGCCAAGAAGATTGCCTGTAGTACGTGAAAAGGAAGTGGAAACTATGATTGCGGGAATGGTGAAGGATGGTGTTATTAAACCTTCATCTAGTCCATGGTATGCATCTGTGGTGCTGGTAAAGAAGGAGGACGGCAGAATGCAGTTTTGTGTTGACTACCGCCGTCTGAACGACGTTACGAAGAAGGACAGCTATCCCTTGCCAAGAATTGATGACGCGCTGGACACGCTTATAGGCGTAAAGTGGCTTAGTACGCTGGACCTGAAAAGTGGCTGTTGGCAGGTTGAAATTGACCCTAAGGACAAGGAGAAAACTGCCTTCTCCACAGGAAAGGGTCTGTGGCAATTTAAAGCCATGCCGTTTGGATTGTGTAATGCTCCAGCAACGTTTGAAAGGTTGATGGAGCTTGTACGTACCGGGCTGATTGGCGATGCCGGTCTGGTCTACTTGGATGACATCATCATCGTAGGCCGTACGTTTGAGGAACACCTTCAAAACCTGGAACGCGTGCTCATGAAGATCTAGTGTGCCAACCTCAAGTTGAGTCCGAAGAAATGCTCACTATTTAAACGGAAAGTTATCTTTTTTGGGGTATGTATGTAGTGTCGGAAGAAGATACCAAAATTGCCGCTGTCAAGGATTGGCCGGAACCAAAAGACAAGACAAAGGTTAGAGCATTTTTGGGTTTGTGCTCCTATTATTGGCGATTTGTGAAGAACTATGCAGATATAGCCAAACCTCTGCACAAGCTAACCGAGGAGAAGCGACATTTCTGCTGGGATGAAAGTTGCGATATGGCATTCCAGGAGCTCAAGGACCGTCTGTGCAAAACACCTATTTTGGGGTACCCTGATGCGGGCAAGGAATTTATAGTTGTTTCAACGGAATGGTGATCAAGAGGTTGTGATAGCGTACTTCAGCAAGTCGTTGTGAAAGCCGAAAAGGAACTATTGTGTCACAAGACGGGAATTGCTTGCTGTGGTAAAGCCCTTGCAGCATTTCAGCAAATATCTTCTGGGGCGGAAATTTCACTTACGAACTGACCATGCTGCACTGAAATGGCTATTGCAGTTCAAAAATCCGGAAGGACAAGTTGCGAGATGTTTTGAACTACTGCAGGAATACGACTTTGTGATCGAACATCGCAGCGGGAAATCTCATGGCAATGCAGATGCATTGTCAAGAAGACCTTGCCCTGAAGATTGCGAGCATTGTACTAGGCAAGAGGGTAAGGAAGTGGTATCCGTGAAGATGCTCAGGACAGACCAGCTCAGCAATGAGAGGACGGACAGCCTACAACATGCACAGCAGGAAAATTCGGACATCAAGCCGATTCTAGAATGGATGAAGGCCAGTGCTCCTAAGCCCAAGTGGAGCGACGTCTCAGCGATGAGTTCGACCACGAAAAGCTATTGGGCCCAATGGGACAGCTTGGTGATTCAGGATGGAGTTCTGTGTCGTAAAAGGGAAAATGGTCGGGGAGACAATTGTCATTTGCAAATGGTTGTTCCTAAGGCTAAAGTACCGGATGTTCTACAGCTGTACCATAATGGTTGTTAAGGAGGCCACCTGGGAGTTAAACGAACTCTACTAAGCTTCAAGCTAAATAGGACGGACCGTACCGGATTGTGACAAGGATCAATGACGTAACCTACCGGATACAGAAAGGTGCCAGAGGTATTCCTAAGATCGTCCATGTGGGTCGACTGGCGTATTATTATGGGGCCAATAATGCTCGGTACGAGCATGTCTTAGGAGGGGGCAGTGTTGCGCGCCACTATTAATGTTTTGTACATGGCAACACTAGTTACCACTAGCGCCCTCTAGTATCGAGTAGCAGAACTAGGAGAATCAAATTACTTCTAGAAATTTCGGGACCGATATGTACTCGAACATTCTAGATGTTTCTACAGTAGAAGGTTCTGGAAACTATCTGAGGCCCTATATAAGGCCGGTATAGATCACGACCGAGTCAGTATTGAATTGGCGACACAAGAGAATACTTCGAAGCGAAATAACTGCGAACTAAAGTGATCAGTAGTACAATTGTGTTTATTATTAGTGTGGTTTTAAATTGTAATTAGTGTTCTGTAATTAAAGTGTTTATTTTTTTATAGGATAAGGGTGACAAACGAGCACACAGTCCACCTGATGGTAAGTGGTTGCTGCGGCCCATAGACATCTACATCTATCCTCGTTTGCGAATCAAGATGCAGATGCGCTGTCACCCGTGAGGACTAAGATGGAATGCCTCATTTCCAGTAAAAAGGGCCTCCGGCGACCTGCACTCACCAAGCGAAACGCAGAGGTAAACCTCTACTTCACGCTGGTATTCTGTGAGGTCGTGGTACCACCCCGGTCCGAGCCGGCCCATCCGTACGACAGAAAAAGCTGCTAATAAATTTAAAGCTTTTGGTAATTCAATCGGCAGTTTTTAATTGTCTCGAAACCGAAGGATGTTCATACCTTAAACACTAGGAACAAACATAAGCTTTGTAATGCCAGTTATTAGACTCCACAGAATCAGTAATTCATTATGGGGCAATGTATACGCTTTTAAAACAAAATCCCAGAACATGTTCAAAGTTTGTCAATAAACAAGTTTAAAAGTTTTATTAAAGAAAATCTGTACAAAAAAGGTTATTATAATATCAAGGAATACATGAATGAAAATAACCCCTGGGAATAAGGTGGTTGCCACCATGCTGGTTCTATGAAAATTCATTTAAAATTGTATAAACAAAATTATTGTTAAGTGAAATTATGTTTAAAAAAAAGTCCCGCTGAGTTTCTTGCTGGTTCTTCCCAGGACAGAGGTATGTTCCGAACCAGT